GCAGTTTAACAGTTTTGTGCACAAAAAGGAAGTATTAAAATGAGCTTCTGGAACCAGATTGGACTGGTGACCTAAAAAGGGAGAGGGCAGTGAGATAGGAAATCCCAAAGTTAATGGATCTAACTGGTTACCAGGCTGGAGTTACTTGTGAACTTTAAGAGTGGAAAGGCATAAGTCTGCAACAGATGTTCTTAGCCAAAGTTAAGGGAGTCTGTTCTTTGATTTCCTTGAAATAAGAGGGGAGAATTGCACCAGACAGGAGAGGATCTAGAGGGAAGAGGAAGCTCACAGAAGACAGGAGGTGTTAAGTCTACCAGTTAGGTTAGCTGCTGGCTTGGAGGATTCATGCCAAAATATGCTTTAAAAGTTAAACACTGAACCACCAAATGAAATGCACTTATTTAAACATCTAAATATGAAAAAGTTTTTTTGGCTTTGTTTCAAATACCTGGTGCGGCTCAGTGAAGAAAGTGATATCTGGAAAGGTAACACAAATAAATCAGATAACATAGATGGTAATAACATAGATCACAAGAGGAAGGACACTAAGGCCCTGCTCTGGAGTTGGTTAGGACTTATTTATTTAAAATGAGCTTGGTCTTATTGTTACATTAGCACAGCTTGCATGTGGCATTCTGCAAGTTTCTGTTTTGGGCATTGTGCCATTTTCTTTTAGATTTTTACCCTCTGGATTCCATCTTAAGGAGATATGATATCCCTTTAACTTCAGTGATTTTAAAATGTATTTCACCATAAAATCAAAGGCAGGTGACTTTTTAACACGCGTTAACACACTTTAGTAGATAATGCTTGATATTTGCTATGTAAAATGATAAATAAACTAAAATTGCACCAATCTTAAAGGAATCCAAATACAGGTCCTCACGTTTAGGGAGTTAAAGTTGTAAACTGTGCAGACGATGTTTGGAAAATATTGTAGGAATGCTTCAATACTATTTTAAATACATTTACCTAAAGATACCTTCACATCTACTTTTTGAACTCCTCTCAGTTACATCCTGAGTTCTGCTTTTTTACTTACCTTTGCCTGGCCAACTTTCTTCCAGCACCAACTCGCCTCATGAACTTTGAGGTCAAATTACCAGATATTTCAGAGTAATTGGGGAACAAACGTTTTGTACAGCCAGCCAAAGAAATCAAACTTCAATCGAGCATTTACATGTCATGATCTTGCCGCTGACTTGATAGCTCATTCCATTCACCTGCCTAGTTCTGCCCAGTTTCTCATTACCGCTCTTCTGTTTTCCCTGCTCTGGTCTCTATTTAACCTTCCTTCTTCCAGTAATCAGTGCCAGATTATTTGAGCCCTTGGTGAGAGCCTTCTTGCAAATATTAATGTTTTCTGATTGCCTGATCCTGACCCTCTGAGCCTGCCTCCTCCTGTTCTGATCTGTTTGTCTGACCTGCCTTCTGCTTCCTGCTGTACTCAGCCTGTTTATTAAACCTGGAACTGCTTCCTGACACCGTCCTGGATTTTTTTTTTGGTACCTCTTCGGATCTCTGATCTTCTGGCCCGGACTCCTGTGCACCTCCTTGATATCGGCTTTGGCCTCGCCGTCTGGATTGCCCTGTCTTTATTTTTCTGTCTGGATCTGATCCTACCTGTTCTCTGGCTTCTGGGGCTTCTACGTCTTGGACTCTCTGGGCAGCGTTCGCTGCGTCATGTCGGCAGCCGTCCGGCTGGAATCTACACCTTCTTCTGGGCACAGACTGAACTTTAAGACCCGGTTAGTGACTCACAGGTCCATAATCTTTCTCCACCAGATAGACGGGGTCTCTAGACTGTTTTCTCTTCTTGCAGAGGTTCCTGTCTTAGACCCCTAGTTGTTTACCCTCGTAATTTCTAATAAACCCCTTTTGAGATATCATACTGTCTGTCTGTTTGAATACTGGGTCCTCTGTTCTGAGCCTTAACAATGTATGGGAAAATAGTAATGTAATTTGAGCCTTAGTAAAACATTAAAGCTGTTTTATTTTGAAGTTAATTATCTTAAACTTTTTAACAGTGAACTATACATACAGAATTTGAATGAATAAAAAAATAGAATAAAGAAATAGACTGTTAATTGTATGCACAAGACATAAAGAGAGTGGCCTGGTTGCCTTTTATAGATATGAGAAACAACTACTTTAGTTGTTCAATGAGCCAAATTAGAAGTGGTGGAAATTTTGATTGCAGTAGCTGCCCTTCTTCTTTAGAAGAGTTTTCTACCCCATAGGAAAACTTTGATTTAAGGATTTAAGGGTAAACAAAACTAAGTTCGGAACAAATTCAGGACTAAAAAGAAAATAAAAACTTGTTATAGTTTGGGAAAATAGAATAATTACAAGTTCAAAAGGTCAGCGCTGTAGCAATGGCAGGAGATTTAGTTGATTTCTTTGTTTTTTTATTTCAAAAAGATAAAAACATGCTTCAGGTGTTTCTGCATAGACTTATTTATCATCATCATTACAAGCAGGTATCCATCTGCTACTTCCTTGTAATACTTATTTTGTTAGAAACAATCATTGTTTGTTCTTCTGTCTCTTGCTTTAAGCATTTTCTCGTCATGAGCATTTAGGAGCCTTTAAATAATCCCAAAAACAGTTACTGTTGTTTTGTTTTGTGGTTTTCAGCAGACAATTATTATACCCTATCAGTGTTTTATTACATTGCTTTTTAACTTGATATTTCTATTCAATTTAGATAATAATTATTACAGTACTCGAGTTGAGGGAGGATGAGGAGGGATAGCACCCCCCTTCTTAAAAAAATCTTAAAAATCATTCCCCTTCTTAAATGACCATCCCCCCATACCATTCCCTGTGACATTTTATAATTATTATTTATTACTGTATATGTAAAATTTCAACTATATATTAACAGTTATGGCAATAATTTTGCCCTTTTAACATTTGGCAGGCTGTGGGCTTACAAGTAGCCCTAGCAAAATAAATAAAATCAAAGAAGTGGCCTAAAGTGCCTATGAAGCTGATATCAGCGGGATATTTGGGGGAGTGTTGGCCTGTTGGGTTAGAGCAGGCCGCTTGTGCTCTGAGAAGGTTACAACTGCCCTGTTCGATCCCCACAGCCTCCACTCTGGGTTCCTGAGCAAAACCCTTAATCCCACGCTGCTCGTTGGGTGCCACACACCAGAATCCCACTGCTCCCCAAGGGGCTTAGATAACTGCCGAGGTATATTCTCCAATGCCAGACCGATAAAGTTCAATTATTATTATTATACCATGCATATTGCTTTAGGTTAATAGACTATATTAATTACGCTATGTATGCTTCCCAAAAAATAATTATTCCACCATCCCCCTTCTTTTTTTTTTTTACAACTAGACTACTGGTTATTCACTTTAACAATAAAATAACTTTAAAATGGTTTGGCTTATTTAGAAATATGACTGTCAGAGAGTTAAACATTTTCCTGTAAGAAGTTTTAAATCATTTTCATATAGAGGTACAAGAACAAGGTTTCCCTAAATCTACTATAAAAGCAGCTGTAGGAAGTTCTTCCATCAGAAATTGAGTAAAGTGGTTTGTCTGCTGATATGCATTATTTCTGAATGTTTGCATTCTCCAGACAACTGGATCTAGACTCTAGCTGATTTCTCTCCTGCACCACTGATTGTTAAAATTTGATTGGACTTAGTTTCAGGTGAGGGATCCAACGTGGAGCTTGGGGCTGCAGTATCAGTGTGTGTAACATGCATATAGTAACAGTATGAGGAGCAGCAACTGTTGGCTAACATATTCCACTAGTTTACATTTTTTGTATGTTAGTGTAATATTAAGCTAGTTGTGCAGCATTTCACTACAGAAATCCAACACCAATCTAACACGAATGATGTGAAGCAATGATGAGGATCCCAGTGTGATAGAGGAGGAAAGAAGAACATAGGAAGATATCATTTTGCTATTGTCATATTAAGATGTTCTACTGTCATACAGCCCCAGGAAATTGGGGAACAGTAAAATGCTGACATAAAGCTTTAGTTTGATTCTCTCTATCAGCAACGTAGCAGCATAAGAATTGAGAGATCCCACATACTGTAGCAGAGCTTTGCAGGCTGGGAGCCCCCTCTGTGCTGTTTTGGTGTCACTTTGATTTGCACAACAGAGGCTAGCAGGGTCCCAGTCAGTTCTGCACAAAAAAAAAAAAATACAACATCCTTCTTCTGTTCTTTTTAATCAGTTTGGTTGGTGCAAATGCTGAAGAAATAAAGGTTTGAGCATATATTCAGTGGACACTTTTAGAACAGGATAAATTGATTCTTTTCCCATCTAAGCTCACGCTCCTCCACCAATAGAGGGCAGCAGAACTTCTACAGCTTGTTAAAAGACAGCTATAGTGAGTTTGCAATCTACATAAGTAAAAGCTTAAATCCACAGTACTGATTCAGTGTAGCTGTCCCCTTAAATAAATGAGTTATGACAGATTGAGCAGTATTTTTTTTATTTTTTCAGAAATGTGTCATTGCTCTCTCCATCAGTGACCTTGGATTTTCTGTTGCACACTTGAAGCCAGTGCGTGGTTTTATCAGCATGTAAATCTCACATGCCAAAAACCCGTGACACCTTCTCACAATGATCAGCAAGTCTTTTCTACCTGTTTACACCTGAGTTTTTTGTTTAATTAATGTCTTTAGTCGCTGCCTCTGGAGGAAAGTGCATGAAACCAACAACAGTAACAAGGAGCTGAAAGTAATTTGGACATAGAAAAAGTAATAGAGCAATAGTTTTTGAAGATCTCCTGGACATCTGCTTGTTGATCGAGTTGTCATTTGGATGAACTCAAATAAGACATGCCTCAAAACCAACACATGATCACAACGCACATCGTTAAGTTGATAAATTGGCCACATCAGAAAAAGACAGACCGGCCTGGAAGTGATCCCTAAAACATGTCTGCGCCGGAACACGCCGACTGGAGAGGAGGTTTCCTCCTCTGTGTGGGAAAACAACCCAGTTCGGGCAGCAGGGAGTGTTTCTGCAGGAGATAAGGGGAGAGTGAAAGTTTGGAGAACTCTCTCACTCTATTTTCTGGTGACATCAGGAGAGAGAGACCCAGGGGGAGGGAGAGCTGGTGGGGGCGATCCCGCATGCTTGGTTCAGGACGCTCCAGTTTGCTGCGCTCCTAAACTTTTTCCTGGAGCTCTCCTGGCAGCGGATGGATGTTCTCTGGAAGGAGGAACCAGCCCACCAGAATATTTCCACCTGGTTCAGTCCGAAAGGATTCTGATAACTTAGCGGAGACTTTGAGATTGGGAAGCGTTTGGAGAGCCTTTACGCACTGAAGAGGCGCAGTTTGGTGTTTTGGGGGATAAAGGAGTTTTTCCTTTGATAAACTTGAAAACTCAGAGCAAAGGGAGGGAGTTTAACTTTAACAAACCCGAGAGGATCATCCTTGACCACTGCCGGGACCTACCTATCAGCTCCACATCGTTCGTGCAGCCGGATAGTATAGTTTCAGTTGGAGGTACCAGTCTGTCGGAGATGTCTGGAGCCGGGTGGCAGGAGCGCGCCGGGCTCAGCCGGTTTGGGGCTCTGCTTTGCGCGGTGCTGCTGTGGGCCGCCAGGGTGGAGGGATGCCCACACAAGTGCAGCTGCTCCGGGTCTCATGTGGACTGCCAGGGTCTGGGTCTAAAAGCTGTACCCAAAGGAATCCCGCGGAGTGCAGAGCGCCTGTAAGTGAGACCACTGCATGATTTCATGATTTCAGCCACTATATATATATATATATATATATATATATATATATATATATATATATATATATATATATATATATATATATATATATATATATAAATTAACTCTTCATTAAATAGATGAAGCCTGACAGCTCAAACTTTTAAACACTAAAGCGGACTTTGATGAATTCCTTTGAATGGAATGGCAATTACAGATAAATATCTGATATTTTTTATAATGCTTAAAGGAAAAAAAAGTATTTTTTTGCAACATTGAAAGCTTATTTAAAGGTATCTAAACTATCAAAGACAAAAGCTGTTATTTTTTATTTTGTTTTAAGTATTATGCCATTTAAATTGAACCCTGACCAGAAACCATTATGTAAAGTAAGTAAAAGCTTGATGGGCCCAGCTTTAATCTACAATCTACATTTATTTTACCTTCCTCTTATCATCGGTTATTCATTTCCATGAGACTGAAGGTTTAAATTGTATTAATGCATGACGTTAAGTTGACTTCTAATGAGATCTTATTTGTTGCAAACATAAAGCAAAACGTTTTACTGAAATTCCAGTAATTCTGCTTGAGAGCTTCACTGCAGGACTGAAATAAAAACTGTTGCTCTAAATGAGGCTGTTGAAAACAGGCCTGATAAAAAAAAGTCAGGGGAAAGTTTCTCTTTACCAGTTAATACTTTTCAAAAAGTGGTCCTCACAGGAGGAGGAACCTCTGTCATTTCCCTAAAAATCTTTTTGCACCTAAAGAGCTGATCTTGGTGGTTTTATTGGAGCTGTTGACAGAAACCTTAGTGATTTCATTCCCCAGAGGAATCCCTGACAGATGCTGCTGCCACCTCCCGCCTATTCTTGACACGTAGACACAGACTCTCCTCTTTCTCCAAACGAGATGGAAGTGATTACCCGTGATAACGGAGCCGGCCGAGGCCCTGGAGGGGATCAACCAACAGAACCAACCCTGAGACAACAAACACAATCAGGAGGCTGAGGGTCTTCACAGGGCGGCTGCGGCTTATGAATGCATGATTAGCATGTGTGGCTGCACAGTTACTGTTGCATTTGTTTGTGTATTCTTGGGTTTCTGCAGGTTTGTGTGATTGTTTTTCTTCTACACATGCGTGTGAGTGTTAACAATGCAGCTGTGACCTCCCAGGACCCACTGGCTTTCACGCAGCAATCCCCCGAAGACATTTACACCCCAGTAAAATAAATAATTAGATCTGGTTGTGAGAAGCGGTGGGATAAGGTGTTCCTTTTTACTGTCCCTGGTGGGGAATATTTGGGGAAGCAGTACCTCCTCCCAACCCGTCGACTCCAGAAACTATGTGTTTATGTTTCCCTGATTTATCCAGGTCAGTGTTTCAGATGAGAGTTGCTCTTTTCCTCCCTCATTCTCTTCCCTGCTGTTGGCCTTCATCTTTATTTCCCTCTACAGATATATTTCAGGGCGTCTGAGATGGGAAGCATTAAAATGGATGAGCTCTGGGCTGAAAAGGTTAGGGCAGATAGGAAACTTTTTAAAGTAGATGAGCGATATTGCTCCAGGCAGAGATTTGGGTTTGCTAACTGAGATAACTTAGATTTGGACATAAAATGACACAGTCTATTAAATAAACCATGATGATCTGTATCTATAACAGTTTAGATGTTGGATATTTAGCAAATATCCAATTATCAGTACCCCCTTTTAAACTTAAAAACAAACTGAAATAATTTTTTAACCAACTTGAAGAGTTGATTAACTAAACATGTGTTTGTAAATCATTTTCTATTCATAAACTCTGAAGGTCGGGAGAATGCCTTATTGTTAAAGGGGCTGGTCTTAACTGGTATGACTGGTATGCATCAGTTTCTAAAAAACAAATTCGCAAAACATTCAGATGGTGGTAAATTCAGAGAAAAAACAAACATGATGTTTCCACAAATGCTTAAGAAAATGCTATTTTTTTGTATTGAGGGAAGGCATGGTTCCACAGTTTGATTTCTGGTGAGGCTGCAAGATGTTTCTAAATATCAGCCCATATTTCCTCATAGTTTAAAGGTTCCCGCTGACTTTAAACGTGTGACTTATTACTGATTTCTATGTTTGAACTGCATATTTCCTTCTGAGCATGAGGAGCTTTACTGCCATTAGAGTAAATTCCTTAAGACAACTCCTTATTGGTTTGCAGCGGACTTCAGGTCCAAGGAAACCTAAAATGGATCCTAGGGTCCGTTTGACAAAGCAGCTTTACTGAAAGCTCTAAGTTTTCTAAACCTGAAATCACAGAAACTCATAAGTTTTCCATTTCACAAAGAGAGTATACTCAACCTCTGTTACTGTTACCGTAGTAACATTCTCCCCAGAGCTAACCTGGTTGGGAGCAGGTTTTGTTCAGTAAATTCCGATTGTCCTCTGTCTCTGCTTCCTTAGAGCAAATCACGTTGTTTTATTTCCTGATTTAGTCTTGAGACACCTGCTGTAATCCTTTGTGAACCATAAAAGAAAATAAGTCACTAGGTCCATTTGAGACAAACACAAACATACCATGTCCTTTAGACAATTGAGCGGCATTTAGTGGCAGAGGATTAAATTTTTATAGGGAATGGATTCTCAAACCACTTATAGATGCCCTTTCATACTCAGAAATGATGAGCGTTACCGTTTCACCTCACAGTCCATCACATAAATCCACAACATTATCTGTCCAGATTTGCAGCATTACACAGAGACAGTTAAAGTCAAATATGCAACATTTTAAGTGTTTTGGGGAGTCTGTTTTTTTCATATTGTGGGATAGTTTCCATCATAATGGTTGGTAACTTGGTTGGTTGGTTGGTTGCTTAGAGCAGTGGGACCAGGAGACAGGGAAACAAGAAGCTATAGTATGAAGAGCCAGAGGAACAAAGAGTGGTGAAGGCAGAGAGCCATGGAGGCTAGGTAGGTAAGACCTGTAGGATGATGATGGTTATGAAGAGGAGTGAGGGAGGCTGTCAGACATGAATAGGTCCCAGAGAGGTCTTTAAATACTCTGAGATTAAACAATGGACTCAGGTAAGCTTGGGTGGAGAATCCACAGTGACCTAAAAGAAGGTTATCTTGAAGAATGAGCACAAGGAATAGGTTAACCGAATAGATAAAGAAAACCCCACAGATAAACAAAGATACTGAGAAGATTTTGGCCACCACTGTCTGGCTAACTCAGCCAAGAGTATCTGGCAGCCAGCTCCTCTTACCCTCAAATTGATGGCCAGATAATTTGCAGGTGTGCAGTGGCACACCCGCTGACTACAGCTCCAGCTTCTCATTCACACAAAGTGAAAACACACTAATCCACTGTCTTGATGATAATAATAATATAACTTTATTGATCTCTTATTGGAGAAATTTACCTCTGCATTTAACCAATCCCCTTGGGGAGCAGTGGGCTGCCAGGGTTAGATTCTGTGGAAGTGGGCCTCAAACTCAGACCCTCAGGAGTCCAAGCTCTATGCCCTAACCACTAGGTCACCACTTCCCTTTGATAGCTTAGATAGCAACTCCCCTTTGCCATTTAGATAGCATCTGTGCCTATGAGCTTGAGTTATCACTCACTGCTGGTCTAACACCTTGTTACCAAAAACGACCTCCAATCAACGGTTTCAAAAAGACTTCTGGTTATTGTTTTGTTTCCTCATTGAGCGTTACCACGACTGCCACCTTTTAAAAGTAGAAATCTCGCCTAAAATCTGCTGCCCTTCAGTGTTGTAGCAAAATCTCTGTAGCATTATTATGATTCTGCTGCAGGAAAAGACAGTACAGTCTATGATATGGAGATGTTAGCATCTCAGACATTTTAGTGTAGGATGTGGCCTTTGTAGTTGAGCTTTAAACATAGTAGTAGCTGTAATCTGCAGCCTGAACACCAAAAACAACACTGTGTTAAGTTATTCCTGTTAATGTGCAATGAGAAACTCTATAATTATTTAAAGGAAGATAAAGTAACAATGACAACTAGTCTTTGAAATTGGCATAACACAGAAAATATTCAGGGAGTATCATGTGGGTTGTCAAGTCATTAGTAGTGTGGCTCAATTCAAGATGAAAAGTGAAGATGATTCAGCCATAATATGTTGTTAGAATACTTTTGAAATATGTCAAAGCTTCTTAAGAATTGCTGAGACTATTTCTGGTCCAATTCTTTGACTTGCTTCCATGTTTTAAGCTGCTGCTCTTTATGGGAGCATAGAATACCAAATGCTGTGCTCTGCTTTGGTAACCCTGGGAACTCTCATATGACCGGCTCAGGAACCGAGAAGTAGACACTAGTTAAACAGTACACTGAAGTAGTTCTGCACCTTACCTCTAGGTTTGAAAGAAGAAAAAGTTTAGTAAAAAGGATTTTCTGCTCATTTGAGGTGGTTTTTGGCTTCCACAACAAAGGTTGATGTGCAAAATGGAAGACAAAGCTGACTTTTTCAAATCAGCTCTGCCATAGTGACATGTAACTAGTGACATGACCGATCAGCTGTGTCTTCTGTAGCCGTCTTCCCAGATGTTACTATTGTGCTTGTGAACATGGCTGGAAGCATTATCAACATATCTACCTGACATGTTCATGTAAGAAGAACTTCCCCCGATTGCAAATCATTCATTACAACTTTCCTCAATCACTGATCTGTGGTCTCCTCTAGATTGCAACCACTACTTCCTGTTTACTGCACTCATGGACGACAACATAGGACGCCTCTGCGGTGCTTGGTTAATTCGCCTCCAAATAGGAAATATCTCGCAAATTTGTATTTAATTTTTTTCCAACTTTAAAAGGTGTAAGTTTCAGTTGAATGGAATTTATTTATATTATATACATTCATTTAATATATAGTATATTTATTATAGCAAATGTTCCATTCTGGGTTACAAATTAGAAGGAATTTGGTTAATTTTACTGTATATTTCTTACTTATACTTTACTGGGGGAGTGGTGGCCTAGTGGTTAGGACATTGTGCTTCGAAT